GACTGCATACCCAGGAGAATGACTAAAACTAAAAAGGCTGACAATATCAAGTGTCAGGGCAGCTATAGAACAACTAGTGGGAGTGTAAGTTGGTATAAACACTTTGAGACACTGTTTAAGAATCCCTTTCAAAGCTTCACATGTACTTATACCCTGTGGCCCAGCATCTATTCTTTTGAATATATGTCCAATAGATAGATACCAAAAGACTTACGAAAGGTATGCTCCTAGCAGTACTGTTCAAAACAGTCCAAGTGTCCATCAAGAGTAGGATGGAAGGCCAGCAGGTGGCAAAGTCATTAGGGCACTGGACTTCCATATGGCTGACTGTAGTTTGATTCCCAGACCTGGCGGCTTGCTTTCTTACTCTCTTTGTCTCCCTCCAATGAGCATACATGCCTTATAGCAAATTTTTAAATAATAATAAATAAAATTCAATTAAAAAAGGATTAGGATGGGTAGGTAAATTGTTCTGTATTTATGCAATGGAATACTATACCGTACTACTTTCCTAATCTATCTGTGGTGAAAAAACAGATTTTTCCCCACCTCTCAGAATGAAACTCTTGTATGATTTAGCATTACACAAAATGTCATATTGCTCAGAAAGTTTGTAAATGTTTACATCTTCCTTTTGTACTCAATGGTAGTGCAGATGAGTAACAAGCAGGAATAGACCAACAGTGTTCTATATCACAAACTACTGAATAGCACTGCTCTCAAGCAAAGACAAACAGCAAACTGTAAATAAATCTCACAATTAGACACAAAATGATCTGTATTTTATGATTCCATGAAGTTCATTGATGGCAAAAAAAATCACCACCTGTGATGTTAGAAATTAGGATTACCCTTGAGGAGCAAAAGATAGTCATTTGAAGGGCACATGAGGAGAGTTCTGGAATTCTTAATCTTCTCAATGCATGATTTTTATACTGGTTATATGGTTATGCTTACTTTATGAAAATTTAGCTGTACACTTAAAATTAAGACATTTTTTCTGTTTATGTATGTTATACTCTACATTAAAAATTATTGATCATCTATTAAGTGCATGCCCTCTAGATTAGTGGAGGAAATGAAGTACATGCAAGTAAATAACTGTAAAATTACAATTAAGATTTTATTTAAGAAATCTTAATACAATATAGAGGATCACGAAGGGAGGAATCTACTTAGATAATGTGGTCAAAGAAGGGGCTTCTGTAAGAAAACATTTTAACTAAAAACTAGAAGATGAAAAGGAATCAGTGATAACAAACAGCAGAAGCAATAATCCAGAAATTTCGGCAATTGTTTTAAATAGTGAAGTGGAGAGAGTTTAGTGGATGTAGGGTCAGAGTGGGCATTGCAGACACAGGGTACAATTTGGGAATTGGTATAAAAACTGGAAAAAGAAGAAGTGGGAGAGAAAGTAGGATTTTGGTTTACAAATGCCAGTGATGGGAAGACCAAATAGATAGTTTCGTAAGAAGCTTGTTGACATCAGGAGGAGAAGAAAAGGATTGCTTTCTGGAATAAAGGAATAAAGGAAAATTTCTTTTTAAAGGAAATACATTCCCCAGTTAATTTTCAAAACCAAGGAAAATATGATTTTATTAAGAGTTAAGTAATGGAGGAGTTTCACTTGGGTTTTAGCATGCTTCATGAAATTTGAGGTAAGTAAAAGTATATAGCTGCTCTGAACTTTACAAGTCCACATATATATTTTTCAATAAATACCATGAATGCATTTTCTCTTTTTTATTATTATTATTATATTTTTGCTATAGGGCATGTGCACTCAACAGAGAGAGACAGAGACAGAGAGAGAAAGTAAGAAATCAGCTCAGGGGGTGGGGTGGGTGGTCACACCAAAATCCCTTCTTTTCTAGTCTTTTCTCAGGATTTTGGACATGCACGCACACACGCCCTGTGTGATTTTTCAAGCCTCTGGGTTGGGTATTCAAACTTACAGTTGATCATGTGGGATCCACTCGCCTTAAGCTCCACACCATCTGTTTGCCCCTGATTTTCTTCATAACGTTTGCCTTCCTCTAGTTTACTTTATGGACTTTCACACCATCTGTTGGCCTCCTGATTTTTTTTTTTTTAATAACATTTGCTTTCCTCTAGTTTATAGTAAGAATATAGTATGTAATACATATAATATACAATATATGTGTTAACCAACTATTTATTTTATCAGTAACGCTTCATAAGATCATAAGTAAGCTATTAGTAGTTAAGGTTTGGAGGAGTCAAAAGTTATGTGTGAAATTTTGACTGTGTGAGATTAGAACCCCTAACCCTCATGTTGTTCAAGGGTCTAAGAGAATTTTCATTCAAGCATTTAAAGATGGATGGCTAATAGACCAACATTCATTCCAACCCTGCCAGTCTTAGGGTCTTTGGTTTTTCCTGGCTTTTCTGATTTCTAACTCCACAGTTATCACTAGTTTCAGCTCCATCTTACTTTTTGTTTCCTTCTTCCCTCACCTTCCTCCTCACCTTCAAATTATTTTGGAAAGTTTTAAAGCACATTTATGCATGTCATTTTCTAACTCTAACAGAACCTCATGTTTATCAAGATACATGTGGGGAAACTGAGCTGCAGAGAAGCTGTTTATGTCTTGTTTAAGGTCATAACCTAGACTCTTGACTTCAAGTACAGTGCTTTTCTGTTATCCCAGTGAGACCTCATTGCTTCCAAATTTACACATGATGGTGTTAAGTTTAAAATATTATGTACATTATGAATATTGAATGCGTGCCCTATTGTTTACTAGGTTTTATGAGATGTCTTCCTAGAGTGTCTGTGTGAGTTATATATATGAACGTAGAACATATTATGTATAACATGTGGATATATTTTACTTTACCTGGACTTGAAATCAATTATATAACTAAGAAACTTTAGAATATTTTAGTAGCTTTTGGAGTAATTGGAACGTCCCCATAGTTTGACATCCCCAGGCCCTCTATCATAATTCTAACTTCATGTGTCTTCTTAATTACTTAAAACCTGAAGGAAGAAAGATATGACCTTAATGCAGATGATTAAATAAATTACAATGGGCCAAAGTCTCACTAAAAATGAAGAAATAATAATGAAGAAAAATTATTATTCACAGATTATTTTCTACGCTTCGCCTTCTTCCCTCTAACTCCCTATGTCTCTAATACCATTGCCAGTGAGTAAATGTTAGAAAAGTAGGAGGAGGGACCAGCAGGCAGCATGGTGGTTAAGACTGGACACTCCCACATGGCCAGCCATGGTTCAAGTCCTGGACCTAGTGGCTTACTTTCTCACTTTCTCTCTCTGTGTGTGAGTGTCTGGTCAAATTAAAATAAGTGAATGAATAAATAAAATAAATAGTTCTTTTTTAAAAAAAAAGTAGGAGGAAATAAAAGTTAAATCACTTGTTTTCTATGACTTGCTGGCAGTTCTAAGGGGACTAGACCAAGAAAATTGATTATCCTGAAGTTGGTGAATTCATTGCTTTTGAAAGTTAAAAGACATTTTTATTAAAGATGCACAACCAACTCCTAAAATAACTAATAGCATGCATCTGTTAAAAATTTTATAATGACTACCAAACTGGAATGGTATACCATATACCATATGTATGTATGTTTTGGAGGGTTTTTTTTTTTTGCTATAGGGTGCGTGCGCTCACCAGACAGACAGAGAGAGACAGAGAGACAGAAAGCGAGAAATCACCCCCCAGGGGGGATGTCACGCCGCAGTCCTTTCTCCTCCATTCTCCTCTCGGGATCTTGGGCATGCACGCACATGTGCCCCGCCTGAGGTTGAAGCCACCAGGTCCGGGTTGCGAACCGTGGTTGACTACGTGGGAGTCCAGCGACATAGCCATTACGCTAACTGCTGGTTCCCATGTATGTAATGTTTTAAGGTAATAACTGTTACTGTATACCATATTATTTCTTTATTTACTTTAATTTTATTTATTTATTTAAATTTGCTATAGGGCACATGCATTAACCAGAGAGAGAGAGAGAGAGAGAAAGTGAGAAAGTAAGCCACCAGGTCCAGGACTTCAAACACAGTCGGCCATGTGAGTCTAGCTCAACTGTACTATTATTGGCCCCTATAGCATACTATTTAAGTATACCAACAAAATAATCTAGGCTTTTTGGAAATTAAAAAAAAATTAAAGATCCAAAACAAAAAATAGACTTCTGTGGTGCTACAGAAGTGCCGTGGTAGCAGTAGCGAAACCACTTAGCTAACTACAGTTCAGATCCCCAACCCAGCTGACCTGAAATATGCTGGGTAAATACATGCAGGCTCAAGATCCTGATAAGCTAGGGGGAGGAAGAAGAGAGTTACAGTGTAATGAAACCCTGTTGAGGGTGCTTCTCTCTCTTTTTTCCCTCTTAATTCAATACCTTTTTCTGTCGTGTATGTGGTCTGCATCATGAATAATTTTTAAAAACTTATTTAAAAAAAAAAAAAAACGATAGAGGTGGGCCAGCCCATGGCCTGGTGGTTAAAGTGGCCAGGTCCCACTTGGCCAGCCATGCAGTTTGAGTTCTGGGCCCAGCTGCTTGAGAAACACCCTGGGTGCCTATATGAGCATGCCCAGTATCCAAAAGAAGGGAGGTGGGGAGAAGATGGGATGATGGTGTGACCATACCTTATGGGGCTGGGGGGAGGCGGTGCTTTTTTTTTTTCCTCCATCTTCTCTCTCTTTCTCTCTCTCTCTCCAGTGAGCACACACACACCCTGGCAAATTAGAAAAATGATAAAAATAAAGGACAGTAGCTATCCATTAGCAACTGTTGGCCAGTTATTTCTGGAAGTGGTTGTGACTTTTCATATGCAGTATGACTATTTTTTCACTCAGTATTGCCTGCAGAATTTTTCCCAGAATATCCTATTGTCTACAACTATGGTATAATAAGGATTGTTTTAGGGGCAGGTGATGTACGAATGCACCAGGCTCCTTTGTTAAGGCATTGAACTCCCAATTCTCCTCTCTTTTTATTTGCCATAGAGTGATTCTCATCAGTTTCGTGTTATGGCAGCTGTCCTTCGCCATTGTTTACTAATTGTAGGCCCAACTGAAGATAAAACAGAAGAACTGCACAGGTGGGTAACCTCTGTATTAATATCTCATTGAAAGACAGCATCATTTCTTGTTTTTATTTTTTTAAATATACAATTTTAATTGTTTATTGTAGACACAAGAAAGTGAAAATATTACAGTAAACCAGATAACTTGTAGGTCAGAAATCATTATTATGAAAATCATGGGAAATTTTCATTGTCTCCTTTAACTTTGTTACATTGAACCCTAGCAAAACAAAGAATTTGGTATTTGCATTCAGTGTTAAAACACAGAGCAATAATAACAGCACATAGTTATTGAACACTTAACCATGTAGCATTGTGCTAAGTGCTTTATGAAGATTAACTTATTATAAAAGAACCTTATAAGGTAGGTACTGTAATTTTTACCTTTCAGTATAAGAGGAAATTGAGATAGAGACAAAGAAACATCAATTTCTCCAAGATCATATTTCCCTGATAAGTAGAAGAGCTGAGATTTGAACCCTGTTTTTAATTACTATACTTTACTAATATTCTTACTAATTTCAGGAGTATTTACCAAAAAGTACATCCTAAGCAATGATATTTTAAAAACAAAAGTATGTAAGAATTGCATCAGTGTGTAGTATTAAAATATATATAATACATTAAAAATTGTTAAAATTTTATGGCTTCTCTATTAATGGACTGCTGCTAAAATTTATTTCCTGAGGACAACTGAATTTTTCTGGTCCTCTTACTTTCTATTCTAGATCAGATTTATAGTAATGAGACTTCTCACTTGTAGTATTCTTTCTTATAAGAATACAAGTGGCATTTTAAATAATTCAGATAAATATAGATTTGCAAGGAGATAATTTTGGTATCAATTCTGCTTTACAAAGACTTAAACATGGGGTTCTTAATAGTAGAAATTACCTTTTGAGCACCTAAAACATTTTATTTTCAATACTTTGTTTTAAATAAAACCTTATAGAAACATAGAGTATAAAATGAAAATACTGGGCCAGCAGGTGGCGTATAGATTAAAGCTGTAGATCCCACATGGCCAACTTCATGTTTGAGTTGAAAATTGGCTTGAAAATCATACCCAGTGTATGTGCATGGGTGCCCAAAATCCTGGGAGGAGACTGGAGAAGAAGGTGTGGTGTGGCCATCCTCCCTACCCTGGGAGGGGATGAAGAATGATTTTTCACTATATTCCTTCCCCCACTTTGGCAAAAACACACATCCTATAGCAAAAACTGGGGGGAAAAATCCTTTATTATTATTTTTTTAAGAATTGTTCTGGGAACCAGCAGTTAGCGTAATGGCTATGTCGCTGGACTCCCATGTAGTCGACCGCGGTTTGCGTCCCAGACCCGGTGGTTTAAAACTCATGCCGGGCGCATGTGCGTGCATGCCCAAAATCCCGAGAGGAAAATGGAGGAGAAGGGATTGCAGCGTGACCATCCCCCCTGGGGGGTGATTTTTCACTTTCTGTCTCTATGTCTCTGTCTGGCGAGTGCACACGCCCTCTAGCGAAAAACTCTCCCAAAAAAAAAAAAAAAAGAATTGTTTTATTTAAGTTTATTTTATTATTACCATTTTTTCATTTGACAAGAGAGAGAAGGAAAGTGAGAAAGCACGCCACCAGGTCTGGAATTCAAAACCTGGTCAACCATGTGGGAGTCCAGTGCCTTAACCATCATGCCACCTACTGGCCCCCCTTTTTTATTTTCCAATCAAACTTATATAATTTTAGTATGATGATCAGTTTAGTATTTGATGTTGAACTGAATTTGTAAATTATCTTTATGTATTCTCTACACTTATGTAAACATTCAAAAGATTGTTCTCTTCATGATTAATAAATATAGTTCTTGAGCCAGCCTCATGGTCTAATGGTTAAGGAAGTCAGACCCCTTGACCACCTGTGCAGTTCGAATCCCAACCCTGGTGGCTTGAAAAACATGCCAGGCACATGTGAGTGCATGCCCCAAATCACAAGGGATTGGAGAACTGGAGGAGAAGGGATTTTGGTGTGATTATGCCCCACTGAAGGAAGCTTTCTCGCTCTCCCTCTGTCTCTCTGGTGAGGGGGCACACCCTCTGGCCAAACTTTAAAAAAGTGTAGTTTTGGGACCAGCAGTTAGCATAATGGCTGTGTTGCTGGACTCCCATGTAGTCGATCACAGTTCGAGTCCTGGACCCGGTGGCTTAAACTCACGCCGGGAGCGTGTGCGTGCATGCCCAAGATCCTGAGAGGAGAATGGAGGAGAAGGGATTGCGGCGTGGCCATCCCCCAGGGGGGTGATTTCTCGCTTTCTGTCTCTCTGGCGAGCGCACGCGCCCTATAGCAAAAACCCCTCTAATAAAAAAATAAAGTGTAGTTTTTTTTCTCAACTACAGATTAAATATTCCTTTAGTTTTCTCAACTACAGATTAAATATTCCTTTAGTTTTCTTGGGATTGTGCCTTTAAAAATAATTCGATTAACTTTAATAATTCATATCCTAAAAAGATTTCGTTAAGCATTTGACTCACTGTAAGTTTTTTTCATAATCAAGAGACACTAGAAATCTAAGCACTAAAACTAAAGAGAAGTAAATTGATGTTTTTGGAAATCAGACATCACAAATTAAATATTAGTCCTGCAAGACTGAGGAGAAAATATTTTGACCAGAATTGTTGTACTAGTCACAAATACATTACTAAAGATTTCTTTGAAGAATGAATTTAATATCTTAACAGAGCACCCACTATTTGTTAAAAGATGGAGAAAGTAAATAGAAGTTTTTAAACAAATTTTTTTAAAAGTAATCAGATTTGTTAATTTTCCTCTGTGATACTTGATTTTTTGTTTGAATTTGCTCTGATCTTAAAAATCACTTCGGTAATACAGAGCATGCCTCAGGCCTGTGATTCTACCTGGCTGCAAGACTGAGGAGAAGATCATAGCGTCAAGACATTGTCAAGAGTCCCTGCCAGTGTCTGTCTCTGTCTCTGTCTCTCGAAGGAAGGAAATAAATAAACTAAAAAAAAAAGTTATTCTGATAAAAATATATTAGCTTCACTATAAATAAGGACTATCCCTAGAGCCATAGACAGGATTTATAATTCTCAGAGGCTTTTCTGAGAGATTGAGGTTGTTGCTGACTTAACAGTTCAGCTGAAATGACCCTGCATGTCTCTTTAATCAGAATTAAAGTGATCAGTATCATTTTGAGCAGTAATGACTCTAGGCTAATCCATTTAAATACAGAGAAAACTGCACCAACCACAGGAGACTATTTTAGGAACCTTTGTAGAATTATTTCTGGTAAATTCTCCTCTGTAGTGACCTGGAAAACAATTTATGTGAATATATATTTAAGACATAAATAAAGGATTTTAAAAGTAATCTCTCTCTCTCTCTCTCTCTCTCTCTCTCTCTCTCTTTCTCTCTCTCCCTCCCTCTCTCTCTCTCTCTCAGACAGGGTCTTGCTGTCTTTGTTCACCACCCTGCTTTCATCTCTCAGCTGGGCCTATAGGCATATGCCACCATGCCTGGCATCCTCGTAAAAAAATCATTTTACTGTATATGTAAAGATTTTTCTGGGTGGTTGTTGTTTTAATAATTACTTATTTAATTTTATTTGTCATTATTATTTTTAATTTGGTGCAGGGCACATGTGCTTACCAGAGAGAGAGAGGGGAGGGGAAAGTGAAAAAGCAAGCTACCAGGTCCAGGACTCAAACTGTGGTCAGCCATATGGGAGTCAAGTACCTTAATCACCACACCAGCTGCTGACCTTCTGGCTTTTATATTCTTTTATATTTATATTGTTTCATTGGTCAGTATGTCTTTAGGCTAGTACCACACAGTTCTGATTACCATAGCTTTGTAGTAAGTTTCGAAATCAGGTAATATGAGTCCTCTTCCTCCTTTCTTTTTCAAGATTATTTTGGTAGTTGGTGGTCTCTTGAGATACTGTGTGAATTTTAGGATCAGTTTTTCTGTTTCTACAAAAAAAATACAATAGGGATTTTGGTATAGGGATTGCATTAAGTCTGTAGAATGGTTTGAGTAATACTGATATCTTGATAATATTAAGTCTTCTAATCACCCATAGAAGACTTTTTTTAGGTGGGGGGGGATATTTTGAGTTTAACTTTTTTTTTTTTTTAATATAACTTTGTTTATTTTATTTTGATCAAAAGGGGGGCAGGGGAGCAAGCAAGCAAGCTGCCAGGTCCAGGACTTGAACCGCAGTTGAACAGATGGGAGTCCAGCACTCTTAACCACCACGCCACCTACTGCCTCCCATGGGAGACTTCTAATAAATTTTTTAAATTGGTGATTTCATTTGTGTATATATTTAATACTTCTATGTATTAGGCACTATGTTGAGCTTAGGACAACAAAAATTAATGCAGTACCCTCTCGGTTCTCCAAGGCTCACCAGTTAGTAGGGAGAGCAAACTCGGAAGTACATAAGTACAGCTAGCTGTGTTTGTGAATGTTGTAACAGACATGACAAGACTTAAACAGATTTATATAGGTTTACAGAAAAAGAGTTTACTTGACCTGGAGAGATCAGCAGAAGAGTTTTGTTTTGTTGCTGTAATTAGAACTCTTTGTTTTGTTTTGTTTTGTTTTTGAAGAGGTTTTTACCTTAGGGTCCATTTACTTGCGAGAGAGACAGAGACAGAAAGAGGGGAAGTAAGAAATCACCTCTCAAGGGGTGGCCACACCCCAATCGCTTCTCCATTCTCTTCTTGGGATCTTAGGCACACACACACGTGTGCCTGGCATGAGTTTTAAGTCAGCAGGGCTGGGACTCAAACCACACTCGACCATGTGGGAATCTGGCAACATAACCACTACACCATCTGCTGGCCCCAACTCTTAGCTTTTTAAACTGAGTCTCTGTGTAACAGTTAGCTAAGAGAATGGATATTTTTGGAACTGTAGCTGAACACCGTGGTAGTTGCTGTAAGGACTCTGTAGTAGATACTACTTAGGATCATAATGACTAAGTGGGGAGACATAAATATTAGGAAAGTGAAATAATAAT